CAGTGTTTGCAGAAGTGCCAGGAGTATCTTTGTTTCTTCTTCCTCCAGCCTACACCATGTGCCGCTCACGAACAAACCACTGAATGCCAATATGTGCTGTAGCGATCAGTTCTACTGCTGCAGTCTTATCCATGAAGAATCCTAAAGCAGAAACAAAGGACCATTGTGTAATCCATTTGGTTTTCCTGAGCAAAGCAAAAGAAAAGAAAAGAAAAGAAAAGAAAAGAAATCCTTGGCGTGGTTGATCTTAACCAAAGCGCAAGCGAAAGCCGGCTTTAAGCTCTTGGCATGCAGTGCCTGTATACCTTGATAATGACGTTTGTTCCAACGAACAGCTTTTTTCGGTAGATAAGTGAAGGTGGTGTCTTGCTTTAGGCCCCTTGGATGCTGAATCGAATATGTTAGACACCTCTTTCCTTCCATTCTTAAAATTTATGATTTTTCAGTAAAACCGCGACGAAGTCATCTTCATCGATCGTGAGAACTGAAATATATTTAAATCATGAGCATGCCAAAAAAAATCTGTGATTCTTTGTTCATGAATTCAGCCCATAATGGGCTCTAATAGCTCACAGCTCACCTTCCTTTCACGGTAGAAAAACAAGAGATGGAAAGTGATTATCTCTAGTTTGTTCTGTGGGTTTTACCCTTTACGTTGGAAGAATTTTTCACAAAAATTTTGATGTTCTATTTTATTATGATTCCATTTAATTCCGTTACGTGTTATGACATACTTAATGGGATATAAAGATAAATAAACTTTTGTATATGAATAAATACTAGTAGACCATAACACGCAGCGGAATTAAATGAAATTACAATCAAATAGAACACTAAGATTTATGTGGAAAACCCTTCAAATGTGAAGGGTAAAAACCATGAGGCAAACTAGAGATAATCCACTATAAGAATAATGAATATACAAATCTCAATCTCTTGCCCAAAACCCTAGCAACAATCACAAGAGAATAACTGGGATATAAGGATCACGTCACTGTGCATAATATCTAAATTCTTCCCAAGTTATTACAGTAAGAATCTACTATGGATCTGATCTAACTTGAGATGAAAACACTGCTAGATGATTGAGAAGAGTCTCTCTGCGTTGTCTTTGTCTTCTTCCCTTTCTTTCTCTTGTTTTTCTGCCTTGTTCTCCTCCTTTTCTTTGGAATCACATGGCTGCAGTATTCACCATGTTGCTGTAATTTTCTGCTCACTTTTTGCCTCTAAAACGTAGTCACCCACACTCCATAATATGAATTAGGATTAGGTTAAGTGAGGTAGTAGGCTGATAAAACCCACCATGGGTTGAATGTAGACTATCAACCTAATAATTCTAGTATTTGTTCATATACAAAAGTTTATTTCTCTTTATATCTCATAATTTTTCAAGAAACAGAAATCATCATATATTGGACATGAAAGTATGTTTTTCGGGAGGCATAAATAAATGAATAGGTCTTAGAGTAGATGGTTTGCTTAACGAGGGTCACATGATATAATGTAAGATTAAAATAAATGAAACTTTCTTGTGCTCCTGACCGTAGAATGACAGCACAGCGGTAGAATGATTAAAGCTGCTCTTACACTCCATGAAATGCTTTGCTTCTAACTAAGATGACAGGATAAACTTGACTATTGAAAATGACAAGTTACCACCTTGCTTGATTCTTTTGCTGATACGATGGAACTGATTACTGAGTTGAATCCTGCTGTATGGTTGCAATTGTATTCCATCATCCATCTCATCTAAATGATCGAAGGGCATTGCAGTCATGGCGAGCCTTTCTCAAGACTACGGTGCTCCATCTCACTCTATTTTCCTTCGAGTAGAAAAGAGAAATCAGGAGGAAATGAAAGGCTATTTGATGGTGGCGGAAGGCCTCATTACGATGGACTCGGCAAAGTCGAGAGAGTGCTTCTTCTTCATCCCAACTCGGCACCTCTGCCTTTTGACTAATGAGCTCAAGTATTGTAAATATTTCATCTCTCCCTCAATATTTCTCTGCATCTCACTTTATGAACCTGTCAACAAATTAGTAAAATAAAAAATTAATATGTATCAGACTTTTCATATGTTTATTGAAAAATAAGATTCAACTTATCATCAAAAACGGCTCATCTTTCATATATTCAATCAACTTGATGCTACCCTAAAGCTTTAGCTTCCTTACGTAATAAGAATCTTAATAGTGATATAAGAATAAATAGCTATCACCCAATTGTAATTTAACAACGAATCCAAATCATCCACATAGATAGTAACGTAGGGATGAAATATAGTTTATTTGGTAAAATAAAATATAAACAAAAATATATAAAATATATTACCGAAAAAATCCATTATCATCACTATACACCAACCTACACACCAAAAGTGTGGATCCCTTTATATTATATAAAACGGATTGACATATAAGGATATTAGGAATAAACAGATTGACATATAAGGATATTAAGAATATTTGCTAAATGATAATAAGATCACATTGCCTAAGGGAAATATATATAATATGTTCATGATACCTACCACTAGGTTAAAAAAAAAAAATCTAAAATAATGAAACAATGACAATTAACTATGTATTATTGAGGGGGTGATAAAAAGGGGGTAAAGGAGGAGGAATGCATATTTGAATCTTTTTCATCTTTAAACCTGAAAAGAAATTTTTAATTAGTTGTATATAGATTAATAATTATTAATATAAATCCTTAAGTTATTATATAGATCACTTGTACTAACAACTTCAGTTGTCTCTTTACGCAAGTCTAAAGGATCTATATAATGATGTTATTTTATATATAACAAAAAAATTAAATATTATAAATATGGGATATTATATCTAAATTTTATGTGATAAAAAGAAAAAATAAATTCATTCATAAATATATCATAAGAAACATTAAAGAGTTTAATATCCTTGTATTCCAATCAAGTAATATAATATTAATTTTAAATGAATTAAAATCAAGTATGCGACGGAGTGTAATTCGAGTGTAACTCTAATGTAACAAAAGTGTAAATAGGAGAATTATCTCCAAAGCTATCCAAGCTTCTAAAAAACTATCATAATTTTAATATGTTTAGTATTATTTTTTATAGTTATCCATCATTTTAGGATTATTAGTTATCAAAATAGAGGATTTCTATATTGAATTTGTGATAGAGTGCATATAACCCATATAACTAAAGTGTATGTATTGAAACTCTTCCAAAATCTATCCAAATTTCTCCAAAGAATAATAACACATTTTTAATATTTTTTTTGAATTTGTCATGTAATATAATTCGAGTGTAATCCGAATATAAATATCTTCAATTATTCTCAAGCATACTCAAACTTCTTTAAGACTATAATAATATTTTCTTTTTGTTGATAAAATAATCACATCATTCACAAAAAGGAGATGAAGTTGTCATTGCTTGTTGATGTCATTGTTGTTATCCGGGAATGATTGGCTTTGTGGCGAAAGTTAGACCACCCAGGATTATTTGGCTTTGAGACAGAGACAAGTTTCTTATGCGAAGTCAGACGCAGTACATGCTAAGTTGTTCTTTTGAGGATCCAAGGAAGAAGGAACTATGATTCAATCTCAATAGGGAATTTTGTAGAATTTGGAATAGTTCTCTGGAATAAATTATGTAGTGAAGACAGCAATCTATACTAATGTTTACTAAGAGTACAGAGTTTATCCAGTGACTGGTGTGGCGTGACGATTATTGTTGAAAGAAAAGTCAATGTGTTTACTGATGTAGGTGTTGGTATTAGAACTGGAACCATGTACAAAGGTTGAGACTTGTTATATGATTTTTGCCTTTTTTCATGTAATGGCAATCTTAAAACAAGTTATGTGCATTGTTAGGCTACTTTTAGATGATCATGGTTATGTGGGTTACATGTTCTGCGCCATATGTTTTACAGAAGAAGCAACACATAATTTTGTTGCAAGGTATGGTTGTGATTTTAGTTTCCCCCTTGGAAAGAAACTGTTGTTTTGTTAGCAAAAGAGATATCATCTTTTGTTTTGTTATCAAAAGAAACTTGAATTAGGGGATTTGAAACTATATTTGTTCTCCTGAAGTGCACATGATACATCAAACTTGTGGTATGGTTAGTTGATAAGCTTAGGAAGACTTGAACTTTTGGAATTTGGAGGTATATTTGTTCTAAGCTTGCAAGTTGGTGTGTCGATAAGCTTTGGAAGTTTTGCATCACATTTTCCAAAATCTGGCTTTTAATATCCTTTTAGTTTCTCTTTCAGATTGGTTGCCATTTTTGTTTATCGCCTAACATATCGACTCTTGAAGGGAACAAGGGACTTAAGTTCTCGTATTTGATTAGTCTGTTTTGGATACTTACATACTCCGAAGAAGAACCATAGTATGTCATCTGGTAGATCTATGAGTCGTATGAAACATGATAGATTAATCTTATCTTAGTTACCAATGTAAAAATTTGTAGCTAATATCTGAACTCTATGCTGATCCAGTTTGCTACATGGTCAATTGCCTAACCCTTCATACTGGTCGTTAGCTCTGCAGATCGAAAACACTAGCAATGTTGTCTTTGAAGACACAACTGAACCAAATCTTAAAGAAGACACTACATCTGAGCCTGGTAATAGCAATGGCTTTTCTGGTGGTAGTGACAATCCAGATTCATGGAATAATGGTGGCAAAGAGTCGGAATAATGTGGAATTATGGTGGCTGCCCAAAGGATAAGCTTGAAGATCCTAAGATGTAGTAGTTACTTGTATTCAAGTATAGTGATTAGTTGAGCCGTGTGTCTGATTCTGGCACTCTTGCTGTAATTCTAGCGGCTACGTATGTTCCTTTTCTCCTACCACTTTTTTCCAGGCTTCTTTTCAGCTACTCACATTAAATGTTTATATTGACCGAAAGGCCTCTAAAGAGGTTATTTGTTTCCTTCCAACCAGATTACAAACCTGAGGATACTGTGAATTAAATGCTTACCATATGCAATCTCAATTAGGAGCAGCAAGCAAGATGGTTCACTAAAAACCACAATTCATATACAAAACTTGATCAGCTGTCACAATATTGGATGTCAGGACCTGCAATTAGATCCATGCCTCACAACATCATCATACATACAAAGACATTTACTTTATGACAAGACCCAGTCGCTTCTCTCTCAGAAGGGGGAAATGAAGCATAAATGACACTACTGTCAACCATGCATGCCTTTGGCCGGTTTTCTGTCACCCGTAGCTTTCAGCAACGAACTTGGATGTTCATAAGCTTTGCTGCTCCAACCTCCTCAGCATCCAACCGATTATGTCTGCACCAACTTCATTGCGCTCGGGCTCAAATAGAAGGTCATGTAGAAACCCCTCATAGAGTTTTATGTCCTTCTGCCTCGAGGCAGCCACATTGTACAGATCCTGTGTTGCCATGGGATCGGTGACTCTGTCTGCAGTCCCATGCAGGACTAAGAAAGGTACAGTCACATGCTTCATGTTCTGCATAAGGTAGGACGAGATGCGCAGGATCTCATGGCCTGTTCTAACTCTTATCGGCCCAGTGTAAACTAATGGATCTGAGTACTTGGCCAACAGAGCTGCTGGATCCCTCGACACAGGAATGCCCCTTTTGTTAGCTCCCTTGAATTGCAACTTTGGGAGCACAAGCGAAACTATTGGAGCCACGACCTGCAACAGGTATACATGTACCCCCACTTGAGTGCTCATATAGTTTCGGCCGAGTAGCCTCTTTAACAAACCAATGCTTGGACAAGCCAAAAATCTATGTTTGACAAATACTGCTCCTGTGCATTTACCTCTAGAAAGATGAGAAAAAGAAAGCTAACATTGTTATTCTTCTTTTTCTTTTGATCTATGCTTTGTCTGAGCACTAATGGTTGACAAAGAGTGCTCTCGTTTTTTCTTTCATTATTATCTGTGCCATCAAAGTCTCTTTTGAATTGATTCCGAGGAACACAAAACTCTGGATATCAATAATGACAATGCAAGGATGTCTTAGCTGAGTGAAGTGAACAAATAAGGTTAACTCACTCAGATGCTTCTTTATTTAATATTTGCAAATAAGATCCTTGAGCATCTCCATAGTACCAGCTATAGCCATTATGTGCTCTATAATGATCAGATGTATTCTATTCAAGGGAGGTTCCAATAAAACATGAATGCTTAGTTCAATGATGTACATCCAAATGGAACAAATTAACTGCATTGCATATAAAAACAGGCTATGAGAGGAAACAATTACCCCAACTATTGGATGAGCTGGCTTTACACGGAGTGCTGGGGATGTCAGTATTATCCCTTCCACCATAGCCTCAATATAGGGATATGAAGCTGCCTGTCATGCAACAATTTTATTAACGATATCAGTAATAAATGCGCAATAATGATAAGGATGAGTGGCAGGACCTTTTTATAAATGACATTACCTTTAAAACCACAGCTCCACCAGTTGAGTGGCCAAAAAGGAAACAAGGTACACCAGGATATTCTGATTTGATTTTCTCCAGGAATTTTCCCTGTAAAACATGAAAAGGAATCAACTTAAAACCAGCATCAAGTGGATTCATATATACAGGCACCAGGGAAATAACAATAGCTTGCACTTACTGTGTCCTCGACAACATAATCTAATGAAGGTACATATCCATGCAATCCATCACTGCCACCGTGGCCTGTAGTCACAAAGTAATTTGTTACCGTCAGGTTCATCCAAAATTTATCTATTCTAGATAGGCTTTGAATATCTACCTGGATTTTGAGTATCACAATCATCAATCAGTGCATCTATCATGCACTGTCTTGTCATTTCTCAATGGTCAGATATATGAGAAACTAGTGCTTTTGAGATAACCTATAATTCTTGGACTAAACAACATTTCACTGAATGACACTGATCTCAAGGTCATGGAAAACAATAGTTTCAGTTAAGGAAATGATCCCATACGACTACTCTAAGTTTAGAAAAGAAGATATTGCTTAAATAATATCCCTACTCATGCTGAACTTTAAGCTTGTTCAGGCATTCAGGTCACCATTCAATTCACTGAACGCGGGACACATACTGCATGGACAAGCTTTGTGGAAAAAAATAATAGCAGTAAGAAAAAGACTAGCTAAAACCATATACCTATCCAGTCCATCGCGTATACTCCAAAGTTGCATGCCATTAACTGTTTGGCGAAGTGTGAGTATCTTCCACTGTAAAAAAAGAAAAAGAAAAAGCACTGTTATGAAAATTAAACTACAAAGTTGGATGTTTGAAATTTTCATTATGTGCTTGTTTCACTATTGGCTGGTAATGCGATGCTGAACTCAGTCTTCAACATCACAGCTATTTAGAAATAAACAAAGCTACTTAAAAATTCTGCATACATGCTTCTGTATTCATGTGTGTAATTTTTGTGTAGCTGAAGTAAAAGGGAAGATAATCATCTGCTCCTTACCTGTGTTCATTCAGACCATGTATTATCACCACAATTGCCCTGCAGATGAATAACAACTCTCATTAAACCCTATCAAGCAATGATCACAAAACAGATTAAAGCACAAATGTCGTAAGCCTCGGATAGAAAAATGACATGATCACAATATAAATATTTGAATATTTAAAAACCAAATACTTTTCAACAGAGCTTAGGATATTCCAGCTGGCCTTTCGAAGTCTATAATGCAATGTGAAAGAACAATGTAATCGAGAATTGACACATTACCAAATTATCTAGTTACATGTGGAGGAGAAACAAGTAGCCATGCAGAGCAAATTCCACACAAGGAAAAAAACTATGCTACTCCGAGATGTTACAGACATATGTTGTTCCGCTAGTATAAATAAAACATGATTGGACACCAAATTAAAAGGACAATTGGTTTCACATCTCACATCCATAGAAGTCCGAAAACCAGAAGTCCAACTATCACAGCTTATAATGATGAGCTGCTAGCCAATTTGCAATGTTATAGCATTCAGTAAAATAAAATAAGCTGGTCAGCATATCTCGTAAAAGGTCCTTAGTCCTAGCAGAAGCATAAACCGAGGACAAGAATGACCAAAGAAGAAACAAGTGCTCGACGGAAGGGGGAAAGGCCTACTGCTAGAGTTCGCTCTGAAATAACTGCAGCTATTTAGGCCTAATAACTAAATGATCACACGCCTAACGAAGAGTAGCTTGCACTGTATAAACCTACAATTCGATGTTGAACGTCACATCGTTCTCTGTGATCAACAGATTCTACAGAATTAAGCCATACTCCAAAGTCCAAACCCAACAAAGGACCGACTATTTTCCACCGAAAAACACACCAAAAAGGAAGAAAAAAGACGAACAAACTCTAAACATCCCAAACAAATAAAAAATTCTATCATCAGAAGGGGAATACCCAAAAGTCAACAGGATTGACATAAAAGGACGAAGGGTTTCCTAATCCCTCTCCTCTGACGTTGTATATGAAACAAAATAGCATCGAATCGAAACCTCACCTCAGATCCCCCGAGGCAGGCAGCCACGAGCGGCAGAAAAGCGCGCTTCTTCTTGGTCCCATGAACACAAACGTCTCCCAGCGGCACGCACCACCCTCGTCGGCCTCCTCCACGGGGGGCACCATCACCACCTCCTCGGCAAGTTCCCTCCGCCGGCGCACGTCCTCCTCCTCCGCGGCTCTCGACCACCTCCCACCACACGTGCGCCGCCGCGGGGAGGCCGCAGAAGCCGCCGCCGACGCGGTCTTCGATGTGAACGGGCCCCCGCGGCGGAGAAAAAGAAGGAACCACAAGACGAAGGAGTGCAGGAAGAGGAGCACGCGGAGGAGGGAGGCCGGCGACGACACGGACCGCCGTATGTTCCTGAAGACGGGGATGATGCGGCCGCTGGCCCCGGAGGTCAGCTCCTCCATCTGCGCTCCCCTCTCCATCCGTCACCGTCTCTCCTCCCTCCTCTTCCTCCTCGCTCCTTCTCTTCCTTGCGTGCCCGACCATTTCATCAGACGGACATATATAGGGCGAGGGGACGAGGAAAGCAAGAGCTGGCTTTCCTTTGACCATTTTTACAAGTACACCCGACGCCCATGGCACGCAAGGTTTTAATGACCCGTTATGTTCAGATATAACGACACCGAGACCGTCGCATAACTGTTACCAACACATATCAGACAAAAAAGCGATGAGATCACCGGACATTTTCCTTCCAAAACGGCTCACGAGTCGAAAATAACGGGTTGCGAAGTTTGTTTCCGTCACTTGTACGCGTCGGGACATGTCGTCGTAACGGTAACATATGTCGTTATCCTCGAGCGGTGGTCCCTCTCTTTCCGACGTGGGTCCCGCGGCCTCGCCTGTGGTTGGGGGTGTGACTATGGGACGGGATTTCCCACACGAAATTGTGATGGTTCCTGGCGACACGTGGACGATGAAGTCACTTTCGTGGACAGATCGTACGGCGCTTATTTGGCTTCCACGTACTATCTCACATCCGCATCCGATAACACGTTTAGATCAGATGCCCGATCCGAATGGTGCAGAACTCTCATTTCGGATTGCAAAATAGGCAGGTAATGGTCTGACTTGAAACCAACCCGTTAACACCACAGCCAAAACTCAAAGCAGCAGTATGTGTACTTGCCTTTCTTGTTACCCCGTGATGATTGGGCAAAAATCTGGGCCAACGTAAACCCCATTGATGCGGCCCCTCACTGTCTCACAAGTAGGTCCGATGGGTCTTTCTGCAACCTTCTGTATAAGGATTCCATAGAATGCCTTCGCCGCGGCCTCTTTCTCCCTCTCAAGCTCACACTCGTCTCCTCTGCGGCGCCTCTAGCGAAGCCATCGTCCGCCGTCTTTCGTTGCGCACCACCGAACCCCCGCTTCCGGTCGCGACCAGAATCCATTTTCTTGCGGCCTCATGACGATCCTGCGGCTCGCTCTCACAGCCCACTCTGCCCTTCCTTCCTGTGATCACAAGCCCTTATCATCCTACGACACTTCCGCTCCGTTAATGACCCTTGCATCTGGTGGTGGGAGGAAAACTGCCCTAGGGTACTCTTTCCAAACTAAGAAGTGTGCGCCGATGTCATTGTCTTCGTCTTCCCCGTCGACTCGCTCGGCTCGTTTCATGGTGTCGAGCCACGAGCATGATGATGAATCTTCCTCGGAGGGGTCCGTTCCAAACTTTTATCTTTATTTTGTTTGCAGGAAGTTGTAGCATTAGATGAACAACATCTTTCAGTGGCATTATGTCAAACGGTCGTGTTTCGAACGAACGCGTGATGCCTTGATTCCAAAGTGATATCTTTTATGAACAATACCTCGTTGCTAGCCTGCGTTAAAAGAAAAAAAAATCTGTTTATCCTTTTCTTCTTTAAACTAGGACGTATTATTTTAATAAATCGATTATTATTTTCTGGTTGCCGCAGGCATGATGGATTGACCATCCGTGGGGTACCGGAGACGGTTGTTGGTGTATTGGGAGGAGGCCAACTAGGTCGAATGCTCTGTCAAGCAGCAAACCAAATCGCAATCAAAGTAGTGACCTTGGATCCTCTTGAATCCTGTCCTGCAAGTGGCATAGCTTATCATCATGTAGTTGGGAGTTTTGATGATGGTGATACAGTTCATGAATTTTCGAAAAGGTTGTCGGTCCTGGATTTTTTTACTAGGGCCTTGGTATCTGTCAGAATGCGTCATTGCTTGCATGTTTGCTTGTTTTCTTGATTGACATAACAGTCTCTTGATTGGCAATTAGGTGTGGAGTGTTGACAGTGGAAATCGAACACGTTGATGCGGTTACTCTTGAGAAACTTGAGCTACTAGGGATAGACTGCCAGCCTAAAGCCTCTACCATAAGGATAATACAGGTAAGTCTCGCTTTCTTCTTGTTTGCCTGTCTTCTCAGGATAGTTATCAGGGTAATTGCTTTTGTGGGTACTATAAGTATGATAGGATTTGTGTTAGACCAACTCTTTCATCTTTCGACCCTGCTATTCTCCGAATGACCTGTCAAGCTGACTTCCATACGTGCTACCTAATTAATGGTGATTACAGAAGTTGCGAAGTTGGTAAGAAATTGTCAAGCTTGATCTATGTTATCATAGTAAGATAGGGTACAATAGATCCATGTACAAGCACCTTAGAGAACATGCTTTGTTAACATTTGCTGCATGGATAATATTCCTTTGTCCAAATGGTATAAGTAATGGCAAATTAGGATAAGATAGACAGAATGATTCATGGCACCTGCAAAAATTAGTATCTTGCTGAAATCAGTTGGAAACTTAAGATGTTTTCTTGCATTTTTAGTCCAAAGAGAACCTTATTGGAAGTAATCTAGTCATAAGTGTAAAGTTGCTTCAGTTCTTTCTGTTTCTTAATGTTGAAAATTGAAATGCACTAGTCCAGTGTCTTAATTTTCCCAAGGGTTGTGACATTTTCTTCTTTTCTTGAATCTCATAAATTGGCATCAATAGGAAAAAAAATTTGAGTCTTAAAATTGTTCGTTAACTAACTAAATATACTTAGTGAAATATATTAAGATGTATAGTCTGGCTCTATATTGCATTTTCTGAAGACTGACATATCCTCTTGGTTTCTTCAAAATTGGTTTTAAGACTTTGGTGTAACAAAACCATGTTAGTGGTAGCTACCAAGGCCTCCTTGGTATTTATGTTTTCAAAATGTTGGAGATATTAAATTATGAAAAGAGAAACTTTCTTCCTGAATGATTACTTTTACATCAAGAATATAAAATAACATTATTCTCTTTTTATATGTTGCTTTTTGTAATTTTTTAATTTGTTAGAGACATTATCATCAAGTTTAAATGTTCTTTAATTCTGATAAATATTATATATATACCTATGTATCTTATCTAGATCCGCCTTAGTTGTTTTTCACTGTCAAGGAACACCCTCAATCCATTTCCTTTAGAGGCTTAGTTAGATTTGGAACTGGTTGTATGATGCTTAGCCACTTCACGGCCATTCATGAGCATTCTCAATAAGCTTGGGTCTCTTTTGTGAGATTTTTTTAATTTAAATTTTTTTGTACATTATTGCAGGACAAATATCTTCAGAAGGTTAATTTTTCTCAGCATGGGATTCCACTTCCTGATTTTATGGAGGTTGATTGAACTGGTTGCTTGTTTGCTGAAACAACTTGAAGTTTAACTAGTCCTTTGTTAATTAATAATTCAGTGCAGAAGATAATCTTGCACATGTTGAGAAAGCTGGAGAATTGTTTGGTTATCCTTTAATGATCAAAAGCAAGAGATTGGCTTATGATGGGCGTGGCAATGCTGTTGCTCACACCAAAGAGGAACTTCCTTCAGTTGTGACTGGTAAAATTTCGTGGACAAACGCCAAAGAACTTTTTAATTTTGTAAAAGAAGTTGGTGGATGGAATCATTAAATAGGTTATCTAGTGAAATCCAAAGTGTTTACATTTTTTGTTGACTATGTTAGTATCTTTTACAGTAGGTAAGAACTGAAATGCTGTTTTAGGACCATGGGAAGCATGGTAGAAGACAGAAGCACCATGCTGTGCCATGCCGGAAAAATGTCTGGCTATTATCAAGACATATATATATTGAAACTAAAAAGTTCAAGCCATATTGTTCCATGATGGTGTGTGCTCATGTCAACAAACTGTTATCTGCTAACATGGATTAATACACATTTTAAAAGTGCCCATGTCAAGCAATGTCTCATATCAGTCTGCAAGCACCAGCTTGGCCATCCTTGCTCACAGAATAGCCATCCTTGTAAGCTTGTGAGTCAAATTTCAAAGACTGTTATCTTGCTTTCTTTAATGGAAGACAACTGAAACATTAATGCTTGTTATTTAGGGCCATGATCATTGGTCACGAGATGTACTGTAAATCATGTCAAAATTGATTGGTGCTTTGACTGAAGCATGATATTTGTATTTTCAGAATTTCTATTCCATATGGCTTATGTTTATTTTATTAATATAGAACTGTTTAGGTTTTTAACAGTTTCCAATCAGGAAAGAATATTGTACTTGTGCATCTTGGGATGCATTGAGAAGCAAAAGCAATTTCTTAGGAAAACTTTTGAAAGGAGAGACAGAAACACAAGTTACCTGTGTGATTAGGCAGAATGCTTACACATATCTTAGACCAAACGTTCAACATACGTTATAGAAAAAAGGGCTCATCCTAGTCTCTTATTGATTCTGTTTCTTTTGGGATACTGAGCATTTGAGACTGCTCCATGTGTGAGGTACTTAATCTTTTTACTTTTCTTTTATAACTCTGAAGAAGGGCATTTCAAATTTTTTAGTGGAATCACATTCCTGCATCATGGTCTACAACTCTTTATAAATATAGCTTGCAAAAATGTCTAGGCTGTTGTTTGGCTTCCAAATTAATTGATTGGAGGTAAATTCTTGGAGTTCAGAATCTTTTAGTTTCTCGATATCTTCTCAGTAAACTATTATCACTATTATAAAATTTATTTCAGCCTACATTTTATCAAGGTTTTTAATCTCATACTATACCGATATACCGAGCTTTGCTTGGTACGGTATGGTACGACATACCATACGGTACGCCTAAAATAGGTATAAAATCCTCCAAAAATATCTGAAAAATTAAAAAAAGTTAGGATAGGGTTTTAAAGTTAGAAATAAATATACATTTAGTATAGTTTTAGCAAAAATAACTTAAATTAGGTAAGAATAGTGCCACATATCTTTTTGGGGCTTTAAGGAGTAGTCTTGTGTAAGGTTCACAATTTTGATCCGTTCCGGATCGTTCTTCCTCTTAATCCTCCCAAATTAGCCTTGTAAATTTGATCAAATCCATAAATCATTGCTTTGTTGAGTTTAAGAAAGTGAAAATATGAGAATAAGAGAGAGAATGTGAGAAAAAATGAGTTTGATAGAGCTTAAGAGAGTGTAAAAGTGAAATAGATTGAAATAAGAGGGAGGAAAGGGTTTAAAAACCCTTGAGGAGGCCTCCAACGGTTAAATTGACTATTACCATTTGGTAATAGTCAAAATTTTGACCGTTACCGTCCGGTACAACCCTGTATCACTCGATACGGGGCCAGATGCCTGATACCGCCCGTATCGGATGGTATGGTACAGTATTGCAAACCTTGCATTTTATATGATTTCAATAAGAAATTTTGTCATCAACAATTTCACACATCTTGATTTGAATTAGTGTGCAATCTTGGTAGCACTTTGTTCTTTTTAGTAGTTTAATGCATAGATCTGTTGCTTTTTCTTAGATCTTGATGTCCATCAACTAATACATGCTTTCATGCTTTGTGGCAGCATTGGGAGGATTCAATCATGGTTTATATGTTGAGAGGTGGATGCCATTTGTGAAGGTTGAGGTTTACTATTTTTTAAGTGACATTGAGGTTTATTATAATTTATTGACTGCAGACATATGTAACTAGTTTATTACGAAACTGACTTTTTTTTTTAGGTTACCCTTATGCCATGAAAGTCTGAATCTTTCAGTTGAATCTTTGTAATGCTGCATTTTTTTAAATAAATACTGTAATATCATTTGAATTTGCTAGTATTATCATTTGTTTACATGGACAATCAGCCTTGTTTGATTTGAACATTTGATCATATATGTGCTTGCCCATGAATCTGAATATTTGTGCATGAAAATATAAGTATATATATTTTAATATAAACACTTTTGTCATATAGATGCAAACAACTTTATCATTTCTTCTGTGAACTTCATGATGCAAACAAGTTTATATTCTGGAGTAATAATAACAAAATCTGTTGGCCTTGCTAATAGCTTGACTTGTAACCATAGTCTGCAGTATCGAACTGTACCGCCCGGTACGGGCAGTGCATTGTAGTACTGTATACCACTCAGTATACCGTACCGCACTATAGCTCGGTACACCTGAGTATACCGCTCGGTACACC